CCCGAGCCCTCCCCTGTCAGCCAAGAGCCGGCAGCCCAAGCCTCGTGGAGAGCGGGCAGTTTGAGCCGGCAGCCCAAGCCTCGTGGAGAGCGGGCAGTTTGAGCCGGCAGCCCAAGCCCCTCCCCTGTCAGCGGGGGGGCCGGCAGCCCGAGCCTTGGGGAGAGCAGGCAGTTTGAGTCAGCAGCCCCAGCCCTCCCCTGTCAGCGGGGGAGCCGGCAGCCCGAGCCCCAGGGAGAGAGGGGCCGGGCAGTTTGATCCAGCAGCCCGAGCCCTCCCCTGTCAGCCAGGGAGCCGGCAGCCCGAGCCTTGGGGAGAGCGGGCAGTTTGAGTCGGCAGCCCCAGCCCTCTCCTGTCAGCGGGGGAGTCGGCAGCCCCAGCCCCAGGGAGAGCGGGGCCGGGCAGTTGGGGCAGGCAGCCCGAGTCCCAGCGGTCAGTGGGGGAGCCGGCAGCCCGAACCACAGCGCTCCGCGCAGGGCTGGCAGCCCGAGCCCCAGGGAGAGCGGGGCCGGGCAGTTGGGGCAGGCAGCCCGAGTCCCGGCGGTCAGTGGGGGAGCCGGCAGCCCAAGCCACAGCGCTCCGCGCAGGGCTGGCAGCCTGAGCCCCAGGGAGAGCGGGGCCGGGCAATTGGGGCCAGCAGCCTGAGCCCTGCCCCCGTCAGCAGGGGAGCCGGCAGCCTGAACCCCAGCGCTCTGCGCGGGGCTGGCAGCCCGAGCCCCAGGGAGAGCGGGGCCGGGCAGTAGGGGCCAGCAGCCTGAGCCCTGCCCCCGTCAGCGGGGGAGCCGGCAGCCCGAACCCCAGCCCGAGCTCCAGGAATTTACCAAATCTCATCTAAAGCCAGAACCACAGCCCTCCTTGTTACCACCAGCCACAACCTCACCCTAAACTAGAGGTGGGTGAAAAATACCAAGCATTTTTCACAGACAGTTTTGAATTTTTTTCACATTTTTCAAAATTCCCCAAGAAAAATTTACAAAAAACTGAAACGGAAAAATGGTCCATTTTCAAAAACTGTTTTCATGAAACATTTTCTGATTTTTTAAAACCAAAAATGAATTTATTTTTATTCGAAACCATTTTTTTTTTAAAACAAAAGCCAAAAAAACATTTTACGAAACATTTTTGGTTTCTGCTTTTTCTATGTTCGTTAAAAAAAGTTTCAATTAAAAATATTTTTCAGAGGTTCATAGATTCCAGGCCCGGCAGTTGGGGCATCCATCACACTGAGGAAATTTAAACTTAAATCCCTGAAAATATTCATTTTTAGGAGGGGGTTCACGAGATTTCACAATTTAGGAAAGGGGTTCGCGGGCTGTTAAAGTTTGGGAACCACTGCCTTATGCTAGACCCCCGGTTCCCCCTTGGGACCTGAACCTGGTACTGTCACGCCTCACGGGACCTCCCTTTGAGCCCTTGGCCACTTGTTCCTGGTCCCACTTATCTGAGAAAGTGGCGTTTTTGGTGGCTATCACCTCAGCCCGCAGGGTTTCAGAGCTTAGGGCGCTGACCTCGGAACCCCCGTACACTGTTGTTGGGGGCCACTGGGCATAGCTACCAGGTAACTCGGGAGAGTGGAAGGCCAAAGTGTCAATAAAGCTCTTTTGCTCTGGGCCTATTTGAACCCCCAGACTCCATCTTGTGAACTCTCACCTACTTCTGGGCTAAACTGCTTACAGGCTGAAGTAGAAATGTAAGGGTCAGCTTTTCTAGCAGGCAGCTGCTGTAAACAGGCCTTGCAAGGCCGAAAGATAAGCAGGCGTATGGGAACTTTTCTAATTGTAACGGCTAGAGAAGGGAGGGGTGGAAGTAGTAAAAGAAAGTTAACAGACAAAAACTTACACAGAAACAGCTTGGGGTATAAAAAGGTAAAAGTTATTTGTATTTGTTGCACTGGATTTGAGACATGCTGGTCTCCTAGTGCCATTTCAGAGCTCTGAAATAAACTTGGCTTGCTTTCTCCCCTCGGTGTCTTTATTGGTGCTAAGCACACCGGGCCAACGGACCATTTGAAGTCCGCCTCGAGCCCTCAGGCGGTAACA